ATCGCGCTTCAACTGTCGCTGAGCTTACACAGCAAGTATGTGGATTACTATTCTTGAGTAAAGGTAGCTGCTATTGATACATATGTTTTCAGATGTTCGATGCGAAGAACATGATGGCTGCTTGTGATCCTCGCCATGGGCGCTATCTTACGGTGGCGGCTATGTTCCGTGGTCGCATGAGCATGCGGGTAAGCTGGTTTTGAATTCAAGTAAACCTTGGCCCTGTTAGGTGTGGTGAGAGCTGAAAGCGAACCATATCCTGCGCTGTCATTGGGGGGGGGGGCTATGTTGGGTAGACCAGATTGCTATTCCTTCTAACAAATTCGTTACTTCCACTTGATAGATACCAACTTTGTTTGAGCGTCTGTGCACACACCTTTAAAACCGAAACACCACGATTGACCTCCTATGAAGGTAAAATCCCATATCATTGAAACCTCACTTCTGCGTGTGACACTCAACACGTGGAGCATGGACTATTGGCGAGGCGATTGTTCCATGACGACCCATACCAGGACAGTAGTATGCTTTTGTCTCGTCGGAGTGTGTTTCTATAACCGCAAAGCTTGATTTCCCATGGTTGTTTTGTGTAGTAGTATCATTAGCACTATTTACCCTTCACTGCCCCCTACGTCAAGAACTGTGCTGTGTCACTGATATTTGTCCATGATTGAGGATGTGGCTAGAAAGTTGTCCTAGATGTTGTAGCCGTAGGACTAGAAAGTTGTCTTCCTGGATAATACAGCCGTAGGCCACAAATATCACGCCAGTTTGTGCACGAACGCAGGCGTCGGATACGTCCCTCCGTGTTTGGAAAAGTCGAACTCTACCCTCGGGGACTTCTCAGCCAAACCTACGGACATGGGCAATTCTCCATAAAAATGCGGCTCCCTTTTCGAGGCTGGGCAACAAGGTTGAATAGCGCCGCATCATTGATTATAACTCTGGTTGGGTATGGTGGAATACGATTGTGATAGAGCCCAAAATCCCTACCTTATCGGGTTTGCAAATAGTACTGGATGGCGTGTCATTTCCCCATGGAATCTGGTCTTATGGATAAGAGAGAGGGGATGAAGCAAAATTAAGTTTGTTTCATTTTAGGAAGTAGATGACCAAATGATGTCCGTGCAGAACAAGAACTCATCATACTTCGTAGAATGGATTCCAAACAACGTGAAAACCGCTGTTTGTGACATTCCTCCTCGTGGCTTGAAAATGGCTGCTACCTTTGTTGGCAACTCAACTGCTATTCAAGAGCTGTTCAAGCGTATTTCGGAACAGTTCACAGGTTTGTATTCGTTCGGAGGTGCTGTTCGTGCTTCTTGCTTCCGGCATTTTCACCGTTTTTGTTTTAGCTATGTTCCGACGCAAAGCTTTCCTCCATTGGTACACTGGTGAGGGTATGGACGAAATGGAGTTCACAGAAGCTGAATCGAACATGAATGATCTTATCTCCGAGTACCAACAGTACCAGGTTAGCCTTCTCTCATTTATTTTAACTCATCATTTATTGTAACTTATGTTCTGTTACCTATGCCACTTCACAAATCGCCCCATATGTGTTTGGCTGTGATACAGTTAACTTGTTCAGCAAGTACCATTGATTTGAGACTTGCAAATTTTAGGAAGCCACCGCTGACGATATGGGCGATCTCGATGCAGAAGGTGCAGAAGAGCCGTACCCCGAGGAGTAGTGATCCACCGTGTTGCGCTGTTTTTTCTGTGTCAATGCGAAATACACATTGGTTGCGTTGCTATTCAAGAATCTTGTTCAAATAATAACTTTATTGTGGTATTTATTACGAAAAGGTCGTGGTGAATTTGGTTTGAATACCACAGTCAAGGTTCAAAAATCAAAGCTTTTTTATGTTTGCACTGCCCTGTCGCTAAATGCTAAATTATATACTTGCCGTGTTAGCATTATTCACGCTTCTGAATGTATAAAGTAATTAAATTACAAGACTGCAGACGCAATGGTGAGTGAGAACAACCGGGGAGTGGGGGGTGGGGGGACGTGGGTGTTAGCGTTAAATTGCTTCAGGTAATTCGGCACCATGATAATGACGTGATGGGACAAGTTATTGGTGCTGGGGCCTTTTGCGGCAACTTGGTGCAATACAGTTCTCACTAGATTTGTTGTGGCCTTGTGTGTAGGCATGGGCACGCCGTGGAAACGAACATGACATCCATTTTCGGTGTCAATGTTGTCTAGCACTACTGTGGAACTGGGCACATTTTGACGCCAGCCAAGAGTGCACTGAACGTACCCTTGTGGACGAGGTTAGAAAAAAGTAAGGGGGGGGGGGTAGGGGCGTAGCTGGCAGTTTATATCGCCTCAAGTAATCCACTTGTGCCAAGAAGGCGGTAAAAGGGTAAAAGCGGAAGTGAAATGGTTCACGAACCCAGGAGCTCCTTTCCACTGGTAAAAATTGAAATTTCTATGGACAGCAGCAACTGTCTCGCCAAATGCACCCCTCTTACTGGATGAAACCTGGGTGCTATACAAGTGGGGTGGGCACGCCCAGCTTTTCACGCATGTCAAGTGACTGCCCTCACCCCACCCCCTAGATTGGCTACACTCCCCCTGGCTCACGAATTCCCCGATTCTCGTGACAGTATAGTAGCGGGCAGCAGTCCCACTTACATACATTTCTGTTCAAAAAATGCGGCGTGCCCACCCTACTTGTATAGCACCATAAATTTTTTGAACCTTTTGAGGTCACACTGGTGCAGGCACTTGGGCTGTTATGTGGGTGACGGCTGTTGAATACTCAAGAAGTTGTGGACAACATTTTCCATTGCTCATGGTGCAGGAGTGCCATCTGGACGTCGAAACACAGCTTTTCTCAGTCCTATATTTAGCTGAGAACTGAATGTATGAGACATTTCACAAGGCTGACGCTTAAGCACCTGTTTCCTTCCACTTTTTAGTCGTGCAGGCTTATATGTATTTATCATCAGTATTTGCGGTGTGCTGTAAACAGACCCGCAGTACGTAGACGTTTTTTGTGGAAGCTGAGTGACGTGCAATTGATGGAGGACTTGTGGCTCAAAGCCATGCCGTCAATTGTTAGGCCCTGTTCAGAGATGTCCGCTTGCGCGAAAAAACGCATAGGCGAAACAATGTGAAATATGTATCGACTGAACGAAGACGCACAGGCGAATCGTGAAGTGGGAGGATCGACGAAAATGAGTATCATACGCATCGACTTACGAACGCTTCGCTCACGCGATTTTCCGCCGTGCGTTCTAACAATCGATACATATCGAACTTTCCGAACTGAAATTCGCCCCACACCCACTCCGGACATTTCGCTTTACGCGTTAAGCCAATTTCACATGATGCGTATCCTATAATCTTTGGCGAGATTTTTCGTTCTCTGCGTTATTTTCGCCTGCCGCCGCGGAACATCTCTGACAGCCTGGAACGCTGAACCCGAGGCTCTTTTCGATCCACCACGCCTATTTCAGCATATACTGCACCTCTTCTACTCAAAGCAATTTTCGTCACTTTACTATCGTTGTTGCAAGATGGACATTATAGTCTCGGCCTGACGCGCATCAACGTGGTATAGACAAGAACGGCTTTCTCTCAGCTCCTCCGCATGCCGAATCTTGATGTCGTACGAATTGTTTAGCCATGTACCAACATTCACACAGCCAGCCCCTTTCTCTATTAAGGTTGCGCGTTGTCGCGCGCATCTTTCGGCCTTCGTCAGCCAGCCTGAAAACTTCGAAACGTCAATTGCAGACCCGAACTTTTCACTTCTGGCGCGCAAGCAACTTCTGAAGACAAGTTCTTCAGAAATAAGCACAACGCAAGAGCCGACACTCGATTGATCTCGCATTAGTGCTTACACTAGCTTAAACCTAGATCTCCATCGCTAGAGGCGCAGATGACATCCGAGAAGCAGACTTTTGCGTGGCATAGAAGTGCTTGTCTTCATTTGAATGACCTCAACGAAACTCAAAACCAGGATCGTGGGAATACCCCCAAGCAACCTCAAGCAACGACTCGTTCTCAATCGCCTATAGACTGCTCTTGCGACACCCCTGACTGCATCATCTGCCCCTCAAACAAGAGCGGTGACTGCATGAAGGCAGGAGTGATCTATCTGATCCGCTGCCAAGTCTGCGGCAACGAATACATAGGTGAGACGGGGCGCCCTCTTCGCACACGCATCAAGGAACACATGGAGGGGCTCAAAAAGTCACGCACTCAAACCCCATTGGGAATGCATCGGGTTCAGTTCCCATGGGGATGTTGCATTCACAGTGTCGGTTACCATCTTGGCTCTAGAAGAGGAGACCACCGCGCGGAAAACGCTGGAGGCGTTTTGGATTGCTGCTAGGGACCCCAAAATCAATAGGAAAGAAGAATGTGTAGCCGTAACCCGTGACCTGGCGCCCTTCCTCGACCTCTGTAGGTTTTGAGTTTCGGTGAGGTCAGGGAGGAGAGATAGGTTTGCTCATTCCACGCAAAAGTCTGCTTCTTGGGTGGTCGATCTTGCGCCTTCGGCGACAAAGATCTAGGTAAGCCTTGTAGCACTCTTGGATCAATCGATGTCGGCTGTTGGTTTGTATTCTGGAGAAATTGTCTTCAGGATTGCTTGCCCATGAAAGGATCGGTCTCAATTGCTTTTCGATTTTTCAGGCTCTCATGAAGGCGAAGAGTCCCAAGCCTAATAAAAGCTACTGTAATCTCGGACAGGCTAAAACAAATTCTACAATAAATGTAGTATTTCTAGGTGTTAATGCGCCATTAATTTGCGCACTACATTTGTACCATCTTGCGCTCCGCATGTAAGAAATATGTCGTTCGTTTTTGATGGGGATTTTTTTGTTATAGTATGTTAACGCATAGCCTTGAAGACATTTCATTTAATTATCGCAGACAATGGGAGCAGCTGACCGGGAAAGATTTTAAAATTTTAAGAACGGTGAACGCTTTTCGAGACGGTTTTTTTGCGTTTTATGGGGGGCACGTGCGTAAAGCATGAAACCATGGATCATTTCTTTCCTGAGTGGCTCTGGGGAAGAAAAAATGGTGGAAACAATGGCTTGTACTTCGAGCCCTACTGATTGACTGACTTCCACTTCTGAGCAAAAACTCTCCAATATGCAACTATGCAAAGCTACGAAAGCTTTAGAGTATATTAAACATATAAAACTTTTTAATTTCCAATCTAAATTTCTTTTTCTCTGATTCGTAAATTTATTTAGTTATTTATTT